ATGGTTTTTTTTTTTTTTTTTTTTTTTTTTTTTTTTTTTTTCAAAATTGCAAAGGTGCAGTGGGGGGATTTCTGTCTTATTAATATGCACTGCATGCATCCTGTTGTGAAGTAGAGGTTAGCACTAATCAGCTGCTAGACTCGTACTACTACTTCGTTATTCCCAGTGACTACTAATATGAGTGTTCACTTATGCTTATGCAAATTATGCATACTAATTTGCTAGTATCACTACATCTCCCTGAACCTTAAGGGTTTTATTCCTCTCATAGATCTTGTACTCCTTCTCTTGCTATTTTCATCACTTTGCTCTATTTCTCTCTCTCCCGTATTTCTTTCTCTGGGAGATCTCAATCTGTCCCTGGCTAGGCTGTAGTCATATGTGTTTTCTTGCATAATCTGGTCTTCATCTGAACTTTCAGACTCCTTCTGGCCCTCTTCATCCGGCATTGTTTCCCTCTTCTGACGTTTCCTTCTGTAATGGTTGTTCTACTAACTCATTATCAGATGGAATTGAAGACATTTCTTCGTCGTTTCATTCTTCCTCTTCACCCTGGGTCCTTATTTGGTCTGCATGGGCCAACACACTATCGCCATTTTCTCTATTTATTATGGCTGTATTGTGGCCTTTTTGCATTATAAATTCGGCTCCTTCCGGATCTGCATCTTTGCTCTTTTTGTACCACATCTTTTCATTTGTAGAATGACATCGTTAGCGGAGCTCTAATCTGTCTTCCCATTAAAGCTGATGGGCTTTCTAGTCTTCCCACATGTGGTATCATACGATAGCTTAAAAGCAGCCTCGGTAGAAAAACTTCTACTTTTTCTTTTTGCTGAGAGCATGCTTTTAGCCCCTTTTTTATGGTCTGCACCATTCTTTCTGCTAATCCATTTGATTGAGGGTGATATGGAGGTGTCTTATATGGTTTACACCCTATTTTTTCTAACCATATGTTAAGTTCTTCCTCACAAAATTCTGGTGCATTGTCAGATACCAAGGTTTTTGGTACACCATTTCTGGAAAATGACTCTTAAAATCTGCTTTATATTAGAACTTTTCTTGTTTGTAACCCGGATTATTTCAGGCCAACCTGAAAAGGAGTCTACTAGTATTAATAAGAGTCCCACTCCATTAATGTATGCATGATCCATATGCACACGACTCCATGGCTCCACTTCTTTGGGCCATGAATGTAATTTGGTTTGTGTAAAGTTTCTTAATTCTTTACATTTTTTTACACCTTTTTACATATTCCTCAATGACTCTTGAATATCCCGGCCACCAAGTTTCTAATTTTATCCTTTTTTGTGTGGCCGCTACTCCACAGTGTATATCATTATGTACACTTTCTATTATTGGTTTTCTTTGTGTTTCTGGGGGAACTACCAGGTCCCCATTGCAAATCACTCCATGTTCTATTGTTAATTTGTGTCTTATTTCTTTATAGGGTCTTTCCGCCCTAGAACAATTTCCCCATGAGTTTTTCCTTATTCTCGATACTATCATACTTAGCACTGGATCATGTCTCATTTCCGCAGCCATTCTATCTACAGACAAAACATCAGTCTCCTATCAAGTGTAGGAATGAATCTTCAAATTCTTCCTCTGTTTTGACTTTTGACTCCTTGTAGAACCTCAATCTTGATAGTGCGTCCACATGTGGAATTGAATTTCCTTTGACATACTCTATATCAAAGTCAAATGCCATCAATCTTATTGCCCATCGTAGAATCATTGATGTCGTGACTTTGGGTAATTCTTTCCTTGGGTTAAATATAAACTCAAATGGTCTATGATCACTTCTTAATAAAAAATTTTTCCCAATTAAAAATTGTCGGGCTCTGGTAGTTGTCCACACGATAGCCAATGCTTCTTTCTCTATGTTTGAGTAATTGAATTCAATGTTCGTTAATCTTCTCGATAAATACATTATCGGATGTCCTTCTTGTGATAATATTCCCGATATTGAATGTTCACTTGTATCTGTAGTGAGTGTTATGTCCTTTTTTGGATCAAAAATTTTCACTACAGGTTTCTTTGACATAATTTCTTTTAATCTTTCAAAAGCTTTTTGCTGTTCGTCTAACCACATAAATTCCACATTCTTTTTTCTTAAATTTGCAATCGGTTCCGTCAAGTCCGTGTATTTTGGTAAGTATCACCTGTAAAAATTTACCAATCTCAAAAAAGACTCCAATTCTTTTTTATTTGTAGGTGTAGCTACTTTTAGTATTTTTTCTATCAAGGCTTGGTCTGGTGATATACCTTCTTTTGAAATGGAATAACCTAAAAAAGATATTGTTAAAATTGCTTATGCATTTTTTTTCATTTATCGTCATTCCAGCATTTCTTGATCTATTCAAGACAAAGTCAGTTTTATCTTTTAATTCCTTTTCATTAGTAGCTCCTATGCATATGTCGTCTTGGTAACAAATCATATTTTGTACATTTCCTAAAGCCTGTTCAATAGCCCTTTGAAATATGGCGCTTGCGGTTTTTATTCCATATGGCATCCTTTTCCATCTTGGTAAACCTATTGGCATATTTACCGTGGTTACTTCTTTGAAGTTTTCGTCTATTGGTATTTGGTGGTATGCCGTTTTTAAGTCTATTTTTGAAAAAACGGTCATTCCTGCCAGTGCATGTAATGCAAGTTCAACATTGGGTATGAGATATGAATCCGAGCATATCTTGTGATTTACTCCTATTTTGTAATCTCCACAAATACGTAAATCACCATCTGTTTTCCTCAAAACTATAATCGGTGATGCCCACTTGCTACCTCCAGGTGGAACATGTTCAAGAAGGTCTTGTTCTACTAATTTATGTAGTATTGTCACTACTAATGGCAATAAATGTACTGGTAATTTTCGTGCCTCATAATAAGAGGGGGAAACATTTTCTTTTACTTTTAAACTTGCTTCATAGCTTTTTAACTTTCCAGTTTTTTCCATTTTTATTTCATTAATTAGTAGAATTTATATTAAGCACGTCATTTCCAATAAGCCCGTGGTTTTTTTTTTTTTTTTTTTTTTTTTGCAACTTGTAACAACTATAGGTATTACTTCAAATTTTTCTTTTAACTCTAATGAACCTTCAAAGTATCCTAATGTTTTTATAACTGACCCATCAAATTGGTGGAGTTGTAAACTGCTTTTTCATAAAGGTGGCTTACCAATGTGTTCCCCAGAATTTTTTGGTATCAGCGTTACTTCACTCCCAGTATCCATTTGCATATCTAAATTGCCGTTATTAATTATGACCTTTACTATAATGTCTTTTTTCTTATGTTCAATTCTTTTTAAAGTCTTATTTTTTAATGTAAAAATTTCCCTATCGCTGTTGTTTTCTTCAATTCTTTCAACATTTTTCTTTTTTAATTTACACACTGCTTGAAAGTGGTTCTTTTTTAAGCAATTATTACAAGTTTTCCCAAATGCTGGACACTTTTCCTTTTTCATTTCGTGTTCACGTCCGCAATACGAACACTTTTTTCTTTAACATGTACGTATCAGCGAATATTTGTTCACTGAGTTGACTTTTATAATGTCTGTATTAGTTCTTGTTGCTGCATAAAGTCAATACATGTATTTAAAGACATGTTTCCTATTTGTAATTGTTCCATTATTTTATATCGGTGTGATGCATTGGACATACCTTCAATTAGTCTTAATTGAATCAAGTCTTCTTCAATAGTCTGTTCGTCTTGTTCTAGTTTTTTAAATTCACAATATCTACTTGCATTTCGTAGACAATGTAGATATTTTATAATTGGTTCGTCAATTTCTTGTTTCATCGACATGAATTTTGTTCTTTCTGCCACTACCATCCTTTTCTTGGGTCTCATATTTCTTCTTATAATCTGACTTATTTTTTTGAAAGTCAGGTCTTCCAAATTTAAGGGATATGCCATGGTGGAGACTTTCATTACTGCCTCGCATCCAGCTGTAGCCAAAAATAAATCTGTGATTTCATTTTCGCCTCCCTTTTCCTTGTTGTCTTTCAACTTTTTTGTTCTTGCAGTGGCAGAGAAACAACGAATCCATGTATCCACGAATTCTGGATCTTCCAGAGACAATTGATATCCTATCGGCGACGCCATTGTTGTGAAGTAGAGGTTAGCACGAATCAGCCGCTAGACTCGTACTACAACCTTGTTATTCCCAGTGACCACTTATATGAGTGTTCACTTATGCTTATGGAAATTATGCATACTAATTTGCTAGTATCACTACAATCTTGTAATTCTAACAGATCATCCCTTTTTATTCTTATTTTGAATTTAGTTGTCCTTCTTTAAGACTACATTTTCAGTTATTAAATAGCTGAAAAAAGTTAAAACTAAATATGATCTCTAAGCAAAAATCTTTTCAACTGTAGGTTGTTATTAGAGGACAAGAATGTTTTTGTTCATTCTATCTTCATTGAGAATTTTCATATTTGAACTTTATAAATTCATACACCACACATCTCAAATTTTGGGTAGTATTTACACAAATCATTAAAAGATTTCTGGTATCCTTGATTTTGTTTAGAACTAATAATAGTATCATTTTTTTTTTTTTTTTTTTTTTTTATCATGTTGGCTGGTCTAATTAGTTGAACTAAAATTGTTAATTGTGGAATGTGCAGGTAGTGTAATGGATAATAGCATAAAATGATAATTTGGAAAGTAGAGTTCATTACATTCACAATACCCTTGGGGAAAGGTATGAATCAATCTTATCTTACTTCAGCTCTAGCTTAAATGACAGGGCAGACTGGCCTCTCTAGTTATGGTTGGCAAGCATTCTACAAGAATGATAAGTCTGAATTCAAAGCCATAAAAATTCCCCAAAATCACAGCCTGGCAGTATCAAACAACAAACTGTTATGATGGTTCAATGTAGTCTTGCTTGGCAAATTTCTAATGTTTTCAGCATGGCATATTGGATAGGCAGTATTATGCAATAAAATGTTTTTTTTTCCCTTATAAAAGATGATTCTGATTTTATTTACAGAATATTAATTTATATGCTGATGTGAATGGTAAACCAGTTCCTGCCACTAAGACAACTAAACCCAACCAATATCAAGTAAGTAAAACGTCTTTCTAGCCATTTATATAATCCTAACACTTACTTGATAGAATTAATGCTAAAATTATATCAAAGTACTATTTATAAAATTAATTTTAAATTTTATGATTTCTAAACCTTCTCTTACAAGAATCCACTGTATTTTTACTGAGAAATGTGACCAAAATAAACTGGGAAAGCAATAGACATAAAGAGAGGATTGCAACTGTAAGTGTCAGAGAATCATCAGAAGAATTGCCTTTTCAAAAATACAATAATATACAAAACAAAGATCATTGCCTTAACTGAATGCCTATAGAAAAAAAAAATTGATATAACTTATAGACTTGACAAACCAATTTCTTTCTGTTCATTTTCTTCATAGATTGTTCTATTGTCAGTTGAAACCAAATGAAGCTACAGTTCTGGATACAAAATCAAAACAGCAGCATTGTTGTTGTTTTTATATTTATACCTACATAAAGGTGTTTGGGGGGGTATGGTGGTTACAAACACAGAACAAAACTAACCAGCTTCAAATTTCAGATGTGATTATTTCTGTTCACTTGATACTGATACTTCTAGGAAAGGCAATAATCCACTTCATCCTACATTCTTATGCAAGATATGATGAGATGTTTGTTACTTGGATGCTACAATGGCTGAAGTTAATTAGTAATTAAGCAAACCTCACTTCTATAACTATCTTACCTGTCCATGCAGTAATAGCAAAAGGCTGTTACCCTCATAATCAACATTGACAAGTTCCAATCTACAGAAATGCAAATGGGAATAAATAAATGATGAATTGGTTATTTATCAACATCATCCCGTTGACTTTTGTAATTGTAGTGGGGGATCTGAATGCAGAAGCCATAAATATTTTGCTTCTCTTGCTTCATAATCCTTTCAGTAGGGTTTGTAGTTAACTTGGTGGCACACATCTCTTTGGTTATTACTTGATTATAAAAATGTTTCAAATGGTTTAGATTTTTCTTTTAATGCAATTTTTTTTATAGAATATCAATGGTACCGAAAAGTTATCAGCAGAACACACTTTCCATGATTTAAACCAAAGATCAGTTTTATTTTTCTTTGAATCTCATCTTGGTCAGTCCTGGAAGTATTCACTCCTCTCTTGTATATAATAGTGTGAAAATATTTTTAGAGTTAAAAATGAGAGATCCCTAATTATGTGGATATTTGAAGAGTCAGAAGTTTCTGTGATTAATGAAATTTATTCTATCAGTAGAAGTTCAGTTCATTTAAAAATATTAATTTATGCTCTTATGTCCTTACACTTACTGAAGAAAACACACAAATTGTTACAAAATGATGCCTGATTCATCCCAAATGTATTTAAGTATCTAAAACCAATTACTCAAATCTCAACACAAATCTTTCAGTTGATATGATGCTATCAAATTATTGACAATATCTTCCAGATTTCTTTCAAGTGGAGATTCTCGAAGAACATGTATAAAATCTTCAATTATACAAGAATTGAAAAACAGAAAAGAATAAGGTTTTCACCTTTTGATGTTGAACTTTGTTAAAATGTGTGCCAATCAGTAATTTGACAACAAAATAAATGACAATCACCTTGAACTTGTAATGCATTGCATATGTGTGCAAATTTACTTGTGCACTAAAAATTTGCTTTGGAACAAATTGGACATTTCTCTTGGGACATTTTATATATTTTTGTATGGTGGGGCTTGAACTCTTATTTGTATTGTGTATATAAGGTTATCATCAATGTGTATGGTTGCATGAGTTTATTTTTGTCTCCCACTTTTTTTTTTTCCAGGTGACTTTCAGTGATGCCCATACCCAGTTACCTGCTGGCAGTTATGTGGCTAAATTTTATGATGAAGAAGGTTACTCGGCTCTCAGAAAGGTTAGTCACTAGTGTTTGCTGCTTTGTGTTCTGTCAGGTTGTATGTGTGAAAAATCTACATTTGTATGTATTGAGGTTAACAAAACAAAAAAGATTTGTTGAAATATGTTGTTTTAATCATTACCATGAAAGACATCAAGAATCAGGGGATTTATTAACATTTAAAAAAAATGACTGACTTGCTCTACAGCAGGTACCTACTAAAATTAATTCTGAGGCCTGTCTGTAAATTATCCATCCATTTTGAATATCTCAAGAACCAGTTTCACAACTTTGATGTAATGTGGCAACTAATCAGAGGCAACCTTACTGCTCATGTGTGACCAGATTCTCCTCTAGGGTTATCGTGGAACAGTATTAAGCATGCCCTTGTAATGTTGCATACATCATGATTGCTATACTTGCCCATTCTTCAAATCTTGTGTAGAGTTCTTATAGATAATGCCATCCAGATCTGTTAAGGAGAATGGCATGAAGTAGCTGAAGGCAATCCTGAAAGATGATTTTGTGGACCGTTTTGATAAGTGGAAAAAAGTCATTGCAATAAGTGTATAACACTTATCGCAATAATGTTTGTTTGTTTGTTTCACAAAGAATACTTTGAAGGGGTTTTAGGCACTTGTGCTCCAGATAGGATTTTTTTGTTTATTTATCTATAACTGTATTTCTCAGACTTTTTAAGAAATGGCACACTTAAGAGCTAATTAAAATATATTGGTCACTATCAATAGATAGTGAATATCTAGAATTTCTCAATTTTTCCACCAGAAGAATTACCTCCCTTTAAGCTGAGGCATCAAATCCTTTAGACAAATCATCGAAAATTAATTTATTAAACAAAAATAATGCTGAAAATGAATTATTTTATTTAGCATAAAATGATCAGTATTGAAGTGATTTAATATTAGTATTCATCACTGGTTTCATACCAATAATTTTAATTGACCTATGTCAATAGTGACAATGATTATAACAGCTTTTTACTATTACTAATGTATAGTTACTATAGCATCACTTTTTTCTCTTAGAAAATGAACACATTTTACAATATGTTTATTCATTTTTTTAATTTTTTTTTTTTTTTTTTTTTTTTTTTTGTCAAATCTTCAAATATTCCCAAATCTTATATGTTAGTGTAAATATGGCCACATCTAAGTTTGTGTTAAAAAGTAAATTTTACTTTTAACATTTAACAAAATTTTATTTTATATGTAGACTTGAGATAATCAAGAATTTTTGAGTATAACTTCTTAAATTATTGTGGATGTCCTTATCTGTGATAATTCCACCCCCTTTGTTTGAGGCAGTTATGGTAATGTCTGTATTTTGGCCTGAATTTTCTGTATCTTTGTGGCTACATTGTCTATTTCTAATATCTTCTATGTGCTGTGTTCCCTCAGGATGTGGCTGATCATGGCTCTCTGCAACTTTTTTTAATTTTTGTAGCTCTTAGTAAGATTTCTTTTTACCATTCTTCCCAGTCCCTGTTCTACCAACCATTTACATAAGTTCATTAGGTAGGTTATTCACTGTCCTTCTTACCTTCAATATGCCCTTTAGAATGTCAAATTCTCTAATCCTTCTTTCCACATTATATGTGCCAGAAATTTCAACTCTCTTTCTGATTCTAAGTGTCCTTTTTGTTTCTGTTTTCCTTAAAACTTCCTCATTACTCACATGTTCAGTCTATCATATTCTTCTGAACCCCATTTCTGTTGCCTCAAGGCTCTTCAAGCAGGGGGGTGTGCCATTCTTCAATGCTTGCTCAATATCCACAGATACAAAACAGATGATGAGTGCAGTTAGGTGGCATGTTAATGCATTTCAGCAGTGGTGACAAGCCTCATTTCGGACAGTCCCTGCACCACTGTCAAATCACAAAATGAACTCCCCCTCAAAAATGTGGTGACTGGAAAAATAGTATTTTTTGTAACTGAAAGCTGCCTTCTTTCCAGTGGTACTCTTTGTATCTGTAGTATTTTAGTGGAAATATATGGTATTCCTTTCAGAGAATCTTCTATAATTAGCCTCTTCTATTTTCATTGAAATACCTGCTTTAGAGAAGACCATATACCATTCTGAAGTAGTTAAAAAGTTCTCAAATAATTGGTTGTGGTAAGTTAAGTCTCTCTCCTATCTTGTATACAAAGTTAAGGTATCTGGTGGACTGTTTTCACAGATGCCATAGATTACAAATACTTGTATCTCACATAAAAAGAGGATGTTTTCTATTCTGTAAAATACAGCAGATATTGCAAAAAGCACTCAAGTTGTATTTGTGTGTGCATTTGTTGATAATGCTAATCATTTTTCTTTCAGGCCCAAAGAAATCATGAAAGCATTGACAGTGTCAAGCCCTTGTTTACCATTGATATTGACCATAGGGTAAGTTGTTATTTTAGCCAATTCAGATCTTTTCTTGGTTGACTTTAGGATATGGCTGATCAGTTAAAGATGTTGATCATGGAGAAGCAAGCAATAAATACTTTTTGCTTACATGTTTCACATTTAGTCATTTAATTTCTCTGCCTAATGAAAATGGCATTTATAGTTATTGTCATCCAAGTAAATTTTTCTCTTTTTTTTTTTTTTTTTTTCTTCAAATATCATTTTGCTAAATCTTTCATAGTTATTTACCAAGTGTAGCCAAATCTGACACAAGGTCATTGTAATGTGAGCACCCATACCAATTACATATACAAATTGGTTGACAAGGTGAGTTAATCATTATGCCATAGTTGGCATCTGGTGAAACTTTAATATTTTGTATGCTTTCTGATTTAATCTTAATTGTAAGTAAACTTAGAAGTTTTCTTGAAAACAATAGTAATTTACAGCATAAAAAGCATATATTGGAAAAATACATGAATTTTGTTATCCTTGCTAGCCTAAGTTAATATCTACGATATTAGGCAGGAAACTTTAATCTTTTGTGGTGGTGGGGACTCAATTCATCTTAAAATGGATATAAATTAAGAGCCCATTATCTAATTATAGATTCATTGTGTGCGTGTGTATGTGTGTGTGAAATTTTTTTTTTTATATGATTGTTATTTATTATAAAATTATGTGCAGTGTTCATTCTTTAAAGATGCACCATAAAAAGTATAGCTTTTTACAAAGATTATATAATTATATACAGCCTTTTTCAGTGTTTGTTTTTTTTTTTTTTGTTTTTTTTTTCTAAGAGAAATATTCCCATTATTTGGTATTTTATAACTTTAAATATTTTGCCCACTTATGATGACATTAACCATTTTGATAGTGTAGCTAGATTGGTGTAGTTTAAGGGTAATGGCATAATTAGAGAATGTGTATTTTATAGTTAAAAACAATAAACATAGAAATCTAAGCTTCCTAATAAATTAGGCATGTTGTACTAATTTCTGTAATTTTAAAAAAAAATTACAAAGCTCTGTGATTGTTTATGTCCACAACACTTAGATTTTTTGCCTTTTAGATTTATAAAGCAACCCATATTTGTTAGTTTCAGTGATTTGCAAAAAGTGATAAAAATACATATCTTAGTTTACTCAAAGAAGAAAGTTTATTTTACGCTATCCTTGATTATCTAGGGACAAGATGTAGAATCTATTTGTCTCCTTTTCATATATTGTGAGATCACAGTAAATTTAAAACCTTGATTAAGTACTTTTAAGAATCTTAAAAGTGGAATCTATTAGGCTTTCATAACCATTATACAGCAGATTGTTGACTAATCATAAGCTATGAGCAAGGCAGCTGGAACCTTTCAACTCTGTAAGGTTGTCTGGTAACTTGTGGAGAGGAGGTAAAAAAAAAAAAAAATGCCTACAATTTGGTAGTTGCTTTGCCTTGAATGATTTTGTTGGTTGGTTGGTTTTCTGATACATCAACTCTTTCAAAGAAAGATTACCAAGACTGAAGTATGAATTGTGTGCATCAGCTGATCTCCATTTTGCACAATCAGTTTATATGGGAGGAGGAGGAGTCTACGGAGATGGATGGACAGATCATTCTTTTCTGATCCTTATAAACAAAGTAAAAGCCAACTCCAACAGAAATTTTGAGTTTTGAGTTTTTATTACAAATTTTTAAAAAAAGAATTTATGCTTTGGCTGAATGTAAGAAAAATAAAATTTCTTTTATGAAAATAATTTTTTAATAAGGCAAAAAGTCCAAAATTATTAAAGAAACACTGACAACTAAAAAAAAATCTATATAATAGTGATATAATTTGTACATGATTGTTGCTGTAACACAAGCAGAGATTTTTGTTAGTGAAAAACCCATAAAAACAAAATGAAGAATAAAGTAATTTTCTATCCATTCTGCAACTCCAATAGTGTGAAGTCTGACTCCTGTTTACCACATAAATAATCTATAGCAGGACACATGAAGCCCTCAAAATAGTAAAATATTTTTGTATTCATCTGAATAAATTCTGTGATTGATCACATACAAAAAATTCAGTTTTGTATTCAATTAATAATTCTAACTCCTTGTGTAAAAAGAAAATTTTTCTGTCTCTCGTACTCTCTTGATTCTGCAATTGATGTGTACTTTTCTCAATGTTTTTTTTTTTTTTTAATTGTGCAGATCTGATATATAAAATAAATGGTTTAATTTCTCAAGGAAAATTACTTCAGATGGATTAACTATTAATTATAGAATATCTTCCATTATTCTTCAGAGTTATAAATATGACAATTTTTCCATTGTGACAAATGACCTCTTATTTGAGAAAATCTGTTCCAGAATAAACTTCTATTTGTTACTAAATCTTCAGGACTTAGAAATATACATGCTAATTTTTTTTTTTTTTCTTAAATTTTTTATTTTATTTTTTGTAGGGCATCTGGAAGGGTCCATACATTCAAAGTGAATTTGTAGCAGCAATTGTTGCCATTTTGGTCTGGGCTCTTGCATATAAAGCAAAAACACAACTTCATATCAACAATTAAGAATAATAAAATTTATAAATTTTTTTACTTAAAAAAACTCTTTTATTTAATTATTTCTTACTTTATGTATGTTTTGTAAAAAGGGAAACTTATCAGTGCACCAATGAAAGTAGGTATGGTACTGTTGACATGATGACTATCAACTTCATTAACCCCAACTTAAATATGCCTTGTTTTATAGTCTTGCACAATTATTTTTCACCCCCTTCCATTGAAAGTCGTAATATTTATTAAGCTTAGTACAAGACTAATAATTTTTTTTTCGACAGGGGGTGTCTAGAAGACTTTGCTACAACACTTCGACATGTGAAAGACTCTTGGGTTTAAACACAAAGCTTTAACACCAGAAAGAAATATGTCACTATTTCAGCCACAAGGCTGGGAATCATTTATTTATGTTTTTATTTTTTTTTTTTTTTTTTTTAATGCATGCATGGGTTTTAAGAACTGTTTGGATTTAAGACATTATCTTAAATTTAACTGACAGGTGTTAAAAGAAGCAACTTAGGTTGGGAGGGAGGACAAAAACAATTCCAGATAATGCCAGGAACTCAAAAAATGTATTAAAATTCTATTGTAATCAGAAACATTAGGATTAGTCACAGTTTGGAATGATTCAAATTTCAGAATGATAATGAAGTCTCATCTATCATTTGCAAAAGACCATGGAGTTATGCCTGGGGAGTTTTCATTCATTTGGTCGTGATAGAGCAGCACCTGTTGTGTTGTGTATAGACCCAGACGAGATTGACTGTCTTGGCTGCAACAACTGCATTGTTCACATTCTTCTCTAGTTTTGCCTTTTTGCTGTTTTTCTGTCTTGTGCCAATCACTCATAGGCTTATAGCCTTTAGATGCTGCATTTCATGTTTTGCCACTGCAGAGAGGCAACATAGTGTTCTCTTCAGGGCATAGATTTGGGCAGGGTTTTGTGGGAGATCAGCAGTTGCCTATACAGCACTTCTCTGCTTTTCACACCACCAGGCAAGTTAAAACTTATATTTGTAATAATATTAATAATAATAAACATAAGAACTTAGAGAAAATTGAATGAGAAAGAATGTAGACAACACCTCAGTGTTATTAAAAATAAATCCCAATGAGAGACAAACCTTGTGCTATCAGTTTACAAAGTGTAAATCAGAAGTAATAAGGCTTCATCTAAAAATAAAGGTAATATTGTAAAATAAGCTTTTTTTTCTTCTTAAAGGAAAATCTAATTTCTGATCATTTAATCACACTCGAAAGTGAGTCAGGCCAAGAAAATTTCGGCACCCTCTTGCATATAAGGACAACAATTTTTGGCAGTATGATTGGGGAGGTAGAACTGAAACTCTTCAAAGATGTTTGTTTTATTTTTTTTACCTTTACTAACAAAACTCACAGACATCTGAAGGATAATGAAGGTAAATGGGACAAAGGGAAACCTCCATGAACCTATCTAATGAGATTGTGTAAATGGATGTCAGATCGGAGACTGGGAGAGACAGTAAAGAAAACAAACATTGCTTTGGAGAAAGGATAGGAAGTTGTAGAAAACCACAACTGCCCGAAGTGAAACAGCACGTAAGAGATTAACAACAATATCCTGTAATAGATGTTCTATAATGGAAAGAATTGTTTTTACTGTTTTGCTGTAGATCTTAGCAACCTCAGCATAATTTCTCCTTTTTTTTTTTTTTCTTAAGTCCAGAACTTGTAACTTTATTGCTTTTATATATATATATATATATATATATATATATATATACTTACAAAGTTAACCTGAACTTAGCCTAGCACATGTTTCAACTTTATGGACGATGGTTGTGCTGCTTGCCTTCAAAATCCTGGCTTTTTTGCCTGGGTTTGAATATTAGTCATTATTGCCTTCACAGTGACATGTGCAAAGTTTTTGGCAAGACATCTTATGGATCAGTCAGCCTACCCTACACTCCACATTTTGATCTTCTGCATTGACTTTTCTCAAAAATAAAATTGTCAGGGGAGATTGCAGAATCTGGACAAGATTACAGGGATCATTCAATTAGTGTGCTAAAATTTTTATATACGAAGATTTGATTAGTTCATACATAATACTCGATTAGTGCTGTAAAACATTCTTCAGTTTAACCATAGTAATTGAAAATTGATTTTTTTTTTTATAGTTACTGATGTACACATTAGCCACACTAATTGAAGGATTTGTGTATGGAAAATGTGACTAGGAAATTAATAGCAATTCCAAAAGAGAACTTTCCAGACAGTTATGTTCTGAAGAGACGACTTTGAAAGGAACTCAGGCACCATTGAACATTACAGGGTTTTTTTGTTTTTTTTTTTGTGTGTGTGGTCAAGTCATTTTGTTACATACTAAAATCTATTTCATTGTACATGAACCCACATAAGTGTGACAATTCACTGAGTAAGTGGGATAATGAATCCAGTAAATATTTGTACATGTCTGGAAATATTCTAACTTATGCTTTCTTGAGATGCAAATGAAATAGATTGTTCATCACTGAACAATAGAAGTTGTACGTGTTCATGTTATATGGTTGAAAATGAGCAAAAGAAATCTGGAGTAGCGGATTAATAAAGTTCTTGGTGAAAATTAGTAAAATTGCTAGGGAAACATTAGTAGTAGGTCTCCATTTATCTCACAAGATAAAGGTCAAACTCTGATCAAATCTGGTGAAGCTGGAGTGACCTCTCTGGAGCGAAGGCATATAGAGGCCATGCACTGCCCAGACTACATGGTCACCCCCACTTGGCTATACTGACAAAATTTAAAGAATACATGGCTTGGATGCAGGAGTTGTCAGGGCTCTACTCTGGGTTTTCTCTCTGGATATACTTCCATAGCCTTTCCCTTAGATGGCCTGCCTTCCTTGGTTATCAAGCTCCATCTACTCAAAGCAGATGGTGAAACATTAGTGCTATTAAAAATTACTTATAGTGAACCTGTTAGTGTGATTGATTGGCTCAGTGGTTTAAAGAAAGATGAAAACATGTAGATGCAAAAAGTAAGCTGATGCATATATGGACAGACTGCAAACCTTGGTGCACTCAGATCAAAGATTAATTGCACAACTGATGGCAGAAGACAATGTGAATAAGGTAAACTTTGTGGCAGATTCTAACAGGATTTAAAAATGAGAAAAATTTGCTCAAAAGATGGTTCCTTGAATCTTGCCTGATGAACAGAAATTTCATGCTTAATCTGGTCTTTTGAATAAGAGAGATGGTTGATAGGGTCATTACCTGTGATGAAGCATGATGTTTTCAATGCAATCTGGAAATGAAATATCAGAGCATGCAGTAGAAAGGAAAGAATTCACCTTGACCAAGGAAAAATATGCATTTGCTAGTTCAAGTCTGTGATTGTCTTTCTTTCATCATAAGAAGATAGTTTAATAGAAATTCTTAGCACAAGGACAAACTGTCAATCAGCATGTGTTATTTGGAACTGCTAAAAGGTTTATGAGAAACTGTTCTGAGAAAAAAAAAACAAATTGACCTGAGAAGCAGATTCTCTATCTTGATAATGGTCCTGCACATAATAATTGGGATTTATTGGCTAAGACATCCATTACAAAAATGGGCTAGCCACCTTATTTGTGTTCCCCCTACCTTAGTGATGTTTTTGCTAGTTCCAAAATTGGAAAATATCTTCAAAAGACAGATTAGCTGACATCCTGCAATACTTGGCTACATTATTGAAAGGCATTCTGAAAAACAAGTTCCAAGAATATTTATCCAGCAATGACACCGTCATCTCACAAAATGGATATCTTCATAAGAGGAGTACTTTGAAAGTAACACCAGCCAATAGTCTCCACATAAGCACTGGTTTCACAGACTTTGGATAGGAGAGGCTGATCTTCACTTGTCTTATCACTAACTTAACCAGCCTCCCTCACTGACCCAATCGTCTGTACATTGTTCTTTTCACCAAAACATCTACACAACACTGCCATACACATGCACCACAATGCCACATTTAATCTAAGAAATCCTACCTAACCCCATACTTGCAGTCTTTGTGGAGGGCTGGGTTGATAAAAATCTAAAAATATATATCCCCAATGATGTTCATAACAGTTAACTGGACAAAAAATACTGCGGGGATTAATAAAATGATTTTCATGTACCCATTCTACAATCACTCGCACTAGCACTCACACATTTAAACACAATAAGAATTCCAAAAACTCACACTTGCAAACGAAAGACATCCCTTAGTTACCAGAGAACTGCAGTCCCCATCATCTAAATGGGGAGGGGAAAAGGAATAAACTAAAGATAAAATGGGGGAGGATAAAAAAAAAAATGGGGCCGATGACCATCCATACCCTAGCTAAGTTAAATTCAGCGACTTGAACTAAAAAGAAAAACACTATCCTAGCACTAGATGACTAATGTTTAAATCAGGTGACCAAGATCCTCATTTCTTGGGTACCTCCAGGTGTTACTTTAAATTAGCCCCTCTCAAGCGAAATATTCAATCACCTTCCGCCGAATTTTGATGAAGAGAATCTCCTCCTTTCTGCTCTAATTTTGACTGATACTTTAATTTAAGCTGATACTTAATGAACAAAATTAGTTAAGAGGAAAACTTCTTACCTATGTAAAAATCCTTGTGTTGCGTCGTCCAAATCACGATTCGCATAATGCCAAGTAAAGACAAGAACACACAGTGATCATTCCTCTTTAGCTGTGACACATCATTGCTACAAACAGAACTGGCCTCAAGGACAAAGAACTTTCCGCCCAGTATGCGAACAATGTAACTTTCAATCAGTTCGCGCAACGGCCGTACGACGCCACAGTAGATGATGTGCCCCAAGGACTCAACCATCCCACCATAGCGCGCACACTTTGGCTTAACTGCCAGCTCTGCTGCAGAGAGTTTTTGCCGACCCAGAGGGCCTTCAA